AGCCGGGCGCCGTCCTGCGTGCTGCAGGGCACTCCGCACACTGAGAGGGGTAAAGAAATGGCCACTGGTACCGACGGGGGTCTGCAAAATCAGCGGTCGGTGCGTGCGTAGTTCTTCCTGTTTCAAAAATCCGCCCTGCGTGTACTTAATTGCCATGCATGTATGTGCCCATAGCCTTTTTTTTTTCCCTATGATACTATTACATGAGACATGACTCACGGGATGACACATCTGTAGAGTGGATAATCTCAACTGTATTAATTTGGTGCAGGGGAATTTCCACAGTATCAGACATAAACTGTTCTCATATGATCTGCTTGCTTATTATGCTGTAAGTTTAATTTACGGGAATTTGTTCTAATGCCACTTAAGACAAGTTTTGCTTGTGAGAGTTAAGCTATCCTGCACTAAAATCTTTAAAATTGCAAATAAAACCATGAAAACACAGAGTAATGTTTTACTTTAAAGTCTTTTGTACTCATAATTGTGCAGAACACTTATTTGAGCCATTTTTAGGTGGGGTCTTTTGAGAATGTTTATCTGGAGGAGCATATACAACTTGAGTTCCGATGGTGGGATCCCAGTGGTGGGATCTAGTGTTGCATAAAACTTGTAATTTCAAAATCTAAATACACTGCCTCTTCCGGTTTTTCACTTGTAGAAAGCCAACTCTGTCCATATTTTCTTTCCCTCACCTGTTCTTTTTGCATGTCACCTTCTCTCACACCTTGTGAAGACAGAACAGCTCCATAAGAAGATCAGGACAGAGCCAGACAGGTGTGATACTGCCACTTGGAGATCTGGGTGAACTCTAAATTAGGAAAGCTACCACTTCATTTGTTCCCTACTTTTCCTACAACATGATTCCTACACCAGCTCTTCTGTTTTTCTATTTGCTGTGTGTTCCCACAGATACATAATTCTCATGGTCCAAAGGAAAATGTAGTTTGAAAAGGTTTACTACCAGGGGTTTGGGTTAACCTTGATGATATCAATTCAACATTGGGATTAGAAACCTAGAAAGAAAGATTTTTGAAAAGGCTCGAGATTCCTCAAAGCTTCTGGCGCGGTAAGTGTTTCTAATTATTATGGGGAGTGTCTCAATTTAATTTAACTCGCACCTATACTGACACACTCACATAAACCAATAAATCCTGTGGTCATCCTTTGTAAACTTCTCTAGATTGCATTCCTTTTAGTTGCTGACGCTTTCGTGTAATAATATTGTTGGGTGTTTTCTTTTTCTCTCTCTGAGTTGATATCAGCAAAACTCAAATTACTGTAACTGATATTTGAAAATTCTCCCTGTGTCAAGTGAAGACTTATGGTGCTGAAATCAATAAGACTGTTTAAAATTCAAAGACCTGCAAATCGTTCTGTTTGTCCTTTGATAGGGCCTGGGCTGATTAAAATGCGACCAAGAAAGCTTAATTGCTGCACTAATTAAGAAGTCTTTAATTTCTTTCCTGGAATATTGTTTGAAGCAGGGTTTCTGTTCTGCTCATGTAGCTGTTCAGGGCAGGTATTCTCTCTCTTTCTTTCTTCTTTTTTCTTTTTACCATTTTGGTATATTAAAATGTATGTTAAAGCAGTAAGATGTATTGACAGTGATTATAATTTATTGCTTTAAAAAAAAAGACTGATATGGAGTTCACTATTTTATTAAATTACAATTTTGAGGGCAGCTGTAAAGGGTAAAATGCAATTACAAAATCCATTGTAGCTGTTGCATTTTAAGGAATTTGAACACTTGACTGACAGGAGCTAGGATAGTACACCAGTTCCCTCCCCCATCTTCAGTTATTATTGATAATTAAATATTTAAATTCATTCAGTGAAACACCCCAGAAAAGTGTTTGTCTCCTGAACGTGTGTGAAGGAATGGACCAGGAGAGGGGATGCAACAGAAGGTATGCACCTGGTAAGGATGAACAGTGCATTATCATGTTAAGTTTGTCTACAATTTTTTTTCCCCTGCATTTCTTTGGAGTTTATTTTCCTTAGAAACCTTTCTGTCTTGTGTCTCGTCTTACCCTTGTATAGTGACCTATTTTGTTCATTGCTTCTGAAGAGGAGAAACTAGATGATTTCACAAAGCTTTCTGTGATCAATAGAGTAATGTTTTAGGTTTAATCATGCTGCATTATAATTCTTGCAAACAACTGCCGAGCAGAGATTCTAAGAAATGAGCAAGTACTGGCGCAGAGAAGGTAAGTTCTGCTTTGCTTTAATCTCAGGTCTCGAGCAGCAATCCCCCTTTGAAGAGCTATCTGCTATTTAGAGGGAAGACTTGAGAGAGAGGGAGGGACCTCATACAGAATCCCCCCTGCATCGCTCAGGAAAATAGACTCATAGAAATGTAAGTGTGTGAAAAGGGATCCTTTTTTGCTTCTCTTCCACCAAGACATTTACTAAACATTGACAAACACCACAAATACAATTGAGATTGATGTGAAGTGTTGTATCAGTAGTAAGAAACTGGATACTGCAGCGCTGTTTTTCTAATTGTTGTGTTATAGTCAAAGTAGCACAAAACCTTGTCCAATACAAATACAAACTGGATTCCTTTCAGTGACAGGACAAGTAGATAACATGCTTAATAGATACAAAGGGAGATTTGCCATTCCAAGCACGACGTCACGCTAATTATGTTTACTCTAATTGAAAGCAAGGTTTTGGGGAACCTGAAATTACTCATAGGATATTTTTAATAGCTGAATAATAATAAAGTGCAGCAAACGTTGATCACAAACCTTTTGGTCTTTCAAAAATCTATTGGAAAATTAAATGAAAAGTGGAGTTTGGTACAAACAATGCCCCAGGGCAAAAAAACAACTAACACTAGATTTTCCAGTCCAGCCATAACACAAATCAATTTGAGCACACTTCTATGGCCAGACTGCCAGATTGTTATGACTGCTAATTCACTCAATCAAACAGTACATTAGTACACTGGGCACAAACAGCTTTAACAATAGCCTGCATTTCTGAACAGTCCACCATATATCATAAAAAACCCAAAATACATGGCAAGATTGCTTTCACATTCTGTTTACTACAAATTGCATTTACATATGGTGCCTGCCTAACAAAGGGGAAAAAAAGTGGTGGGAGAATGAAAGTGAAGAAACTTCTGGAGCCACTAAAATAACTTTTAAAGTCCTTAAAAACGAGATTCTGGGAGCACTTGTTCCTGCTTGCGCTGATGTTTAATGTGAACCTCTCAGCCAGAGAGCTGACAGCAGAGGCTGGCCATCCCGTGCACAGAGCTGGATGGGGAATTGCTGCGGGTTGGCAGCTCGCACACGCCCTGCCTAGTCCCGGCCCCGGCACTTCAGCTAGAGCGGCTTTTGCCGGCTGTACTCCGCGAGTCAGCGCGCTGGCTCCGGGGCTATTCACCGCCTGGGCAGAGGGGCAGGATTTAGCCCCAGAGAATATCCCTTAACTCTTCCCCTTCATCCCCACGAGCGATGGGTGTTTTCCCCGGGGATGCTCACTGGTGATGCGCTGTACTGAGGGATGCGATGACCGACGGCTCAGGAGCCCGCGCATCCCTTCCCTCCCTCCGCGCCGGCATCCGACACACGGACACACGCACGCCCCACACACACGCCCACGCACAAACGCATGTATGGAAATTGCAAAAACCAAACGCCAATTAAACTACTTGCTTATTTGCGATTTTTCTCCCCCCTAAATCGCTATTCTGACTTCAGAAAAGGCGTTTCGAAGTCAGTAACTAAAACAGCCCTTCTGTCGATCTGAGCCTCTCGGTCACGTTGCTGCTACCAGAGCCACATGGTGAAACGGATCGGGTCGTGGTCCCCTCCCGGGCTGGCTCGGGATGGATGGATGGATGGATGGATGGATGGATGGATGGATGGAGCAGTGGCTGGGCACTGCCTGCTGACATTCTCCTGACAATTGACAGCCGAGCAGGAGAGCTGCAGCGCGGGGAGGAAATGATAACCAACTTCCCTGCGTGATTTAAAAGAGGGCTGGGATAGACGGGGGGCCCTCTGTGTTGTATGAGTTAGACTTGGGCTCTCATTAGAGGTCCTCAGTCCAACGTGCTAATTCACCTACCAACAGGTAGGAAGAGTCGCTCGGAGCAATAATTACGAAGTACAAAGCCCTTGCCATTAAATTATGTTAAAGCGGCGATCTAATCTGAGCTGCCCTTTGCCGTGCCTTCCCCCCTTTACAGAATTAGTTCGCTCAGCCGCTCCATCCCTCGCTCCCAGCCCAGGCTAATGGAAGCACCGGGGAGCCGGCCCCGGGTTCAGCGCTCCAGGCTCTCCAGCGCGGTCCCTGCTGGAGCACGGGGACCGCTCCTGCTGCTTCGTGCCCGGGAGCGGGGGGGAGCGGCGGGATCCGCCTCCCTCCGTGCATCCCGCGGCCCCGCCGAGCCCCGGAGCCGCCGGGAGGGGAGCCCGGCCGGGCGGAGGGCGGCGGCTCGGCTGCCGCTCCGGCGCTAATTGCTTCCCGTAACAATATTAATAACAGCGACAAAAATGCACAGTGCTGCCTTCTTTTTATATAGGAAGTGACAGCCTGCGAGACGCAGCCTCTTCTTCCTCATGTCACTGAAGTGAATGGAAAACAGTTGGAGGGGAGGGTGTTACCTTCATTATTCCTATATTTCAAAAAAGCAGACAAAGATTATTAATTGGGGGTTTTTTGAGGTGGGGGTGAGGAAGGATTTTTAAAAGCCCGAGCCCTTGCTTGAAAAGTTTCAGCACAGAGCGGAATTTTATAGAGAGTTATAAACTCTGGGTAAAGGGGGATGTTATAAATGGAAATGCTGACACAACCTTAACTATAGCGTGTAAACGGCTATGCTATAATATCCATTAAGCAGAAAGAAAAATAAGATGGCTGATCAATAATTTATACAAAGAGTACCAACTGCAGACATAATAACTGTAATGTTTGCAAAGCAATCTCTCGCTCTCCAGGCTTAGCAGTAAACTAGCGGGGCTGTTAATTTCCAACTCCTACAGGTAAGAGTACAAACAAATTACTTAAACTTGTATTTTGCTCGATATTTTGCATGCCTCCGTAGGATAAAATACAATTTAATTACGATGCAACTTGGGCTGATTGAGGAGCCTCCCCCTCCCTCCCCCTTTCCTCCTGCCCGCCCGCCTGCTCCTCCGAGGGGACCTTCTTGGGCAAAGCTCCGCCCGAGAGACAGGAACAGGTCGCTTGGACGGGCGTTGTAAACGGATCGACTTTTGGGTCACTGTAGTTCGACTTTTGGGTCACTGTAGTTCTTCGGAGAGTTATTCACACACGGAAACAAAACGGAGCCATTTAACTTCAAAAGAAAGTTACAAGGTTTTTCAGTGCCACGAGCTGAAACACAATACCCCCACCGGCCCGATAAGCATCAGCTGTCAGAGGACAATGCACTGGCTTTCCATGCATCAGGCTACCGGGAAAAAAAAATCCGCTTTAGGGAAAACCAGTGCTTCTTCCACTGTCGTAAACAAGAGTAGGCAAGCAATTGATCTCTTCATTGGCATTGGGAGCGTTATCTCCCATTTCTGTCTACTGTATTTATGTAGCAAAACAGAAGAACAAAGTCTGAAAGTTGCTAAGCAGACTCCTGTAACGTGCCCAGGTTGGTTTTTTGGGGGTTTGTTATTATTTTGTTTGTTTTTTTTTTTTTTTGCATGTCTCTTGCAATAGTACCAAAGAGACCACTTCTTTGTGAAATAACAAGAGATAAATGTGTCAGTGGAGGGCTTTTTTTTTTTTTTTTTTTTTTTTTATATATATTCTCCCCCATGCCAGCCTGGACAAAAAAACGAAAAAAAGTTATGTTGCTAGCCGCACAAAAATAAGCCCATATTTAACATAGCGTGCGCAGCTCTGCGACAGCTTTCAGCTGTCCTTCTTTGGGACATCACGGGTGTTTTGTGTAGTAAAACCAGAGAAGTAAAGCAAGAGACACCTTATTTCTGAGCCCTGAGCTGGGATGTAGGGAGGCTGCTCTGCTCTGCAGGGTAATGCTTAACACACACATACAAAAAAAAAAAAAAAAAAAAGCGGCTGTAATTGCCTGCATTGCTCCTACTTGCTTACCAATGACCTATCCCAGTTCAGCTTCAATAAAGTAAAATAGCGTAAATTACAACTCTCCATACAGTCTGCACACAGAGTCCTTTATATGGAAGCAATAGTTGCCCCGCCCCGGCTGCCCCAGCCCGGTTGGAGTATCGCAGTGTAGAACATCGCAGTGTGGTATATCGCAGTGTGGTATATCGCAGTGTAGAACATCGCAGTGTGGTATATCGCAGTGTGGTATATCGCAGTGTGGTATATCTCAGTGTGGTATATCGCAGTTTGGTATACCGCAGTGTGGAGCATCGCTGCTCGGAGAGCTGGAGCAGAAAGCGCAGCGCCCACTAGTGCCTGTGAGCGGGGGGCAGCGCTCCCTCCGCGCCCCTCCGCTCCCCGTGCAGAAACGTCCTCCAGGGCAAGGAAATGTGCCCGGGACTGCAGAATGCGGTACGGACAAAAGAAGGTTTAAGCCCATCTGTGACTAAGTGAGGGTTTGTTTCTTCATTGACTAAGCTCAGGAAAAGCAGAGATGGAAAAGTTGGCTTTTGCTTGCTGCTCCTCGTCTGTCCCAGGAGGCATGTGAATGGGGCGAGTGTTCCATACATCTTTTCCATACATCTTCACACTCATAGTGAAGGGAATTGGAAGGGCTGCCTGGCTGTAAAGCCTTGATGGGAAACATGAACTACACCAGACACATTTCTGAGCTTTGGATACCTGCCCCTACACTTGAAAACTACAGAAGATTTGTGAGATATTTCCATTAGGCCCTGTTCTTTTCTCAGGTGTTTTGGGGGATTTGTTTATTGGTTTATATGCATGAGAGATTGTTACTGGGCAGTATTGAGATTT